CTTATGTTTGTCTTAAGTTCTCCATTATTGATGATGATTTTCTGTGATTAACTCCTAATTTGTTACTTTTGTTTCTTTTACTTTTTTACATATGTTGTACATGAACGCTCACAAAACAAAACACGCACGCCAAAACACGAACCCACCTGCATACCATATATACACCATTGGACCTCAAAACACCCACCGCATATGCATTGTACATATGTTTACCGTTACACTACTGACTCGATTATATACTATCTATACATTGCGATTTCCTTATTTGTTTTTGAACATTTTTGTTTTGTGGATCTTGACGATTACCCCACTCACAAAAACACAATCACACAATTGGGCGCCATTGCATGGAAACCATATATGTCCCGGTCATGATCCTGTTCCTGGTCCGATCTGCATGCGAGTAGTGCCCACGGTTATGTGTACAATCCAAGCACTACCAACACCTCCTATGTGCCGAATTCGCGGGTTGATTCGGAGAGGGGCAGCGTAAGCTCCGGCGGACGCACTGACTCCGACACCATGTCCATCTCCAGCTGTTCCATGTGAGTAACGGCGTCTTCCCCGCAGAGATCCCGCCGAAATGGATGCTTGAGACATGGAGCCACAATTCCAGCGAACAGTTTAACTGACTAATGATTCCTCGTTTCAGGGACGGTCGCCCGTACATACAACGCAGACACAGCTCCACGGAGAGCAAGGCGATTCGCCAGAGCGCGATGGCGAACAAGGAGACCAACACCTTTCAGGTAATATTTCCAAAGTTTGAAGCTCTACGACTAACACTTTGTGTTATAGAGTGATTATTTTATCTCTTGTATAGATATGAGAAATGACCCTTTTAATACTAATCGACTTATTGTTTATTTAACAGGTGATACCTCGCACACAACGACTACATTCGAACGAGCACAGACCACTGAAGGAGGACGAACTGGTGGCCTTGCTGATACCCAAGTTGGAGGAAGTGAAGCGGAAGCGAGATCTGGAGGAAAGGGCCCGCGAGGTGAGACCTACAAGAAATATTACTTTTGAACTTTCTGTTAAATATGCATCTTTTCACAGAGAAATCCCGGAGCTGCTTTGCTAACCAACGAAAGATCCAGCGCCAGCGATCGAGCCTTCGCCGAGGCGATACGGGAGAAGTTCGCACTGGACGAGGACAACGACCAAGACATTCTGGACCAGCATGTGTCGCGGGTGTGGAAGGACCAGACGCCGCACCGCTCGCCGGGAACGATGTCGCCCTGCCCACCCATCCCGTCGCGCCGACGCACAGCCACCCACGACTCTGGGATGGTCAGCGATGGCGCCATGAGTCTGAGTAAGGACAATAGAGTTCACGGCACGACGGTTTATTAAATGAAATCTATGCGCAGGCGGGCACTCCATGAAGCACTCGAAGTCCATGCCGGATCACAGTTCCTGCTCGCGGAAGTTGACAAACAAATGGCCTTCCATGAACACAGACAGTGGCATTAGCATGTTCTCGGCCGACACTGTTACCAAGTACAAAGATGCGAGGTGGGTCAATATAGCTTTAGATGGACTAACCCAACGGATTACTAACTAACCGATGGATAACCCTTTACTAAAGCTCTCGATCTGGCTCTAGCACGGCCTCGAAACTGGAGGAGGCGAAACGAAGACTGGAAGACGAGCCGCGGCGCTCTCGTCGATACGCCCAACCGCCGATGCAGCACCAGCCACTGGCCTCCTTCAGCAGCAGCAGCAGCGGCGGCAGCATCAGCCTGCCCCACCAGCACCAGCTGCAGCTCCAGAGCACGGCGGCGCCACCGCCTCTGCCGGCCAAGCCACCGGAGACGATCGTGGTGTTCTCGTTCTGCGAGGAGCCAGTGCCGTACAGAATAAAAATACCCGGTACTCAGCCAACCCTGCGTCAGTTCAAGGACTATCTGCCCAGAAGAGGACACTTTAGGTATACATTTCCTACTCTCTGTATGGCTTTGTTCCTAACCAGGCTCTGTTTTCAAACCCACAGATTCTTCTTCAAGACGCACTGCGAGGACCCGGACAGTCCAGTGATTCAGGAAGAGATTGTTAACGACTCCGACATACTGCCCCTATTCGGAGACAAAGCGATGGGTCTTGTCAAGCCATCCGATTAATAATTAAGCATTTAGCGTAGATTTTGTATTAAGGCAAATCGTGAGTGTGGCTTGGTGCAGCGATGAAACTGATGCACTCGGCAGAGTACGAATACGATAACGAACGCACCAAGTGTACGCATCTTAGAGCTAGCAACTGGAGAAGCTATTTCCGACAAATCAAAAGCTATATCTGATATCTGTTCGGGAACCGACCGGCTTTTGTAAGCATCACAAACTACTCTCTGCGGGGGCAATGTATTTTTCTGTACAACAAAAACTGATCTATTCACCGGCCACCCATAAAGGTGCTTCTAAGTTTGTAATTCCCCAACGAATTTCCGAGCTACTGTCCTCTTTGTGTTGACTCCTTGTGGAGGCCGTACGTTTCAGAGACCGAAAGCGTTTTAGCCCCGCAGCCAGGGGGCTGAGATTAGGATTAGGACCTGCACAAAATCAATTTATTAAGAAGATTTATGGGTTTACCACGATTGGGATTTGTTTGTTACTTTTTACTAACTACGGACTGCCTGCAATAAATTTTGTTAATATTTTTGTAATGTGCATTTTATGATGATATGATGATATTAACAAAGTTCTATTCAACTCGACAAAAATCAAAAGATAATCTGTTTTATTTTTGTATAATCTATAACACAGCATACACACACTTAACATTTATGTATTTATACAATGTATTGTAATTGCGTCAATTGCATCTACCGATCTACCATTAGGCACATTTAATTTTCGGGTTCGACTCAGTCCAGCAGTGACCAATATTGGGATGTACGTCTACACTCTAGAGGTATATATTGGAGGCTCTTGGCCGAAACGGACGACATCGATCGATTGATTTATTTAAATAAGTTAATGCATACACATACTATACATATTTTTTTAAGAACTGAAATAACCGCAGAAATATGCAAGTAACGGATAAATTTATTATATCAAACATATTTTATTTGTGAGCAAAATGCATATAGATTTAATAAAAAAAGTACATGGATAGAACGTAATGTGCCAAATGATTCGAATTCATTCGGTTGGATGGGTGATTGTGATTCTGATCACTACACGATGATGATCGGGTTAGGCTTAGATAATTATCTCTATTATATGTATTCGTCAGTGGGATTGGGCTAAACTGCCGTGCAGTCGTCCCTTTGGACGTGGGACACATAGTTCTGCTCGTTGATAAACGTGTGCGTGCATTTGGGACAGTGATAGCGCCGATGGCGGTTTGTTCCGGGACTCTCGTGCTCCCGCAGATGGGCCTTCATGTTGTACATCTGGGAGAAGCGCTTGTTGCACACCGGACAGGCGAATGGCTTGTCGCCCGTGTGGGATCGCATGTGCCGCTCCAAGTGGGCCTTGGTGCGCGTCTTGAAACCGCACACCTGGCACTCCAGCCGCTTGGTCTCGTTGTCGTGGATCATCTTGTGCTTGTACAGGGCCACCTTGTGGACGAATCTCTTGGAGCAGACCTCGCACTGGTACGGCGTTTCGCCGGTGTGCCAGGCCATGTGGTGCTTCAGCCGAAACTTGCGGCTGAACCGCTCGGGGCAAACGGGGCAGGCAAACTGCTTGACGGGTTCGTGGTTCTGGAGGTGGCCTATGAAGCCGGAGTACGACTGCAGCGTCTTGCCACACTGATCACAGACATAGCCGGGAAAGTGCTCCCGCTTTGTGTGGGCATTGTAGGCGCGCCGGCTGGTGAACTTCTCCGGGCAGCTGGGACACTGTATGTTGACCGTGTACTCGCCGGAGCTGTCGTGATCCTGGTCCTGGTCGTCGCCCTCGCCGTCGGATATTATGTATTCTATGGTGCCGTCCAGATGGTCATCAAAGTCGCTCATGGTATCTTCCTTGAAGAAGTCGGCTTCCTGGGCCTCGTGCTTGGCATGTGGCATCAGATCTTCCTCCTCCTCCCCCATCTCGTGGGCCTCCTCCTCGTTTATGATGATCTCGTTGTCGATGTCCAGGTCCACGGACTGGAACTCTTCTTCCTCCTCTTCCGATTGCTTTATAATGAAGATGTGTTCCTCCTGCTCGGCCACCTCCTCCTCGATACTAGTGGGATCCACCAGAGTGATGCCCTCCGCGGAGGTGTCCACCTCCACCAGCTGCTGATGTTCCTCCTCTTCCTGATCCTCCTCTCCGACCTCCTCAATGTTCCCATCGAACTTGGTTATGGTCCTGGTTTCCCTGGCGACATCCTCCTCCTTGAACGGCGACTGCTTGAAGTCCTTGGGCATGTAGGGACTGTGGATCAGCTCGAGGATCTCCTGGCGCAGCTTGCGCGCGATTTGAATCGACTTGTGGTACCTGGCCAACTTCTCGCAGCATTTCTTGCATATCGTCGACGATTCGTCCGCCAGGACGTAGTCTGTGCCCCGGGTGCACTGCAGGACCAGCTCGCTGATCAGCACCGGCGGGTGGCCAACGGTCTCCGTGTGAATGTCCTTGGGCACGCGCACGGAAAACTGGCAAATGCAGCAATTCATTTTCCGAATTCTCGACTGGAATTTATTTACAAAATATGCTTGGAACGAGGGCTGCACAGCTGCCGCTATCGGTTGGCGGCTATCGTTTATCGAACCAGTGGTTCCAGTTTATTTAGCCGATACACCCTCCTATATAAATACCATCGGTACACGTGGGTATTTTTTAGTATATACCGAATATCGAGAGTACGGTCTCACCAAAATGTTGCCCGCGATAGCCGAGACAACCTCCTAAAAGAGCATATTCACCACTGTGGGCAGTTTTTAATTTAAGCTTGCGGACCTAAGTTTTTTTATTTTTTTATTTTACAAACAAATTCACCACAGTAGTAAATGTATTTTATAATACCACTTCTGTACACTTCAATAAAACAAGAAGTAGTTCCTTAGCCATGGACATTTTTTATTTTGTTGCTTAAAGTTGCCAACAAGGCAAAACTGAAAATTAACATGTTATTTTACTGCCCCTCACTGTGCCTTTTTTTATTCTTCATAAGCATTTAAGTTCTTTTTGGGCAAGATGATATTGAAGTGCTGGTACTTGGTCCACGAGAGCAATATATCCTTTGTCCTGCCGTGCGGGGCTTCCCCGAATGTCTGGGAATAAATTCGATCACTATCAGATTCATTAAAGTAAATGCCACACACTTACCTTGCAGCACCCATAAATCTTGATCATGTTCTTATCCTCTTTGTTATTGATGAACCCTCCGCCCAGGCATTTCGTGCATATGCCAATGTCGTCCATTTCCTCCACTGTTTCTTCATAAATTTGCTCTGGGAACACAACTGATTAGTATTTACAACGAAGAATAGAAGCAAGACTAACCGTGGTCCTTGGAGTCCGATCCTCTAACGATCGTCCTACCGAACCTGGTAAAACCGTGCATGTGAATCGTCATTAATAGGTACTTGTTCTTTCCCTTTGATATCTGAACTCGCGGAACATTTATTAAAAGGGCGTTAACTCGCGAAGTACTTTGCCTTCGAATGGGCCTAACTATTTGCGAAATGGGAGCCAAAAAGTTTATCGTTTTCATTTTGGAAAAATTTGTATAAAAAGGCACTGGAATTTAGATGAAGTATTCCGAAAAATGTTGGTCTGAACAGTAGCAAGGCTTCAGCTAGACTGATTTTATCTGGGGCCTTCAAGTCAAATGATAAATTTTGAACTGCCACAAAAGTCAGAGCACCTAAGATCGACAGTTTCTTCACAAATATTAGTCGGTAAGTCATAATAAATGCATAATTATATATCTCACTGCTAGGGATCGAGCTTTTAGTATATAGCCCTTATATTAACAACATTTTTCTTACCTCTTAAATATCAGAAACAGAATATTTCCCAAGAATCCAAAACTGTATTTCATTCATTTTAACTGTGCAATTTGTATTTAAGTTAATTTAACATTTCTTAAATATGTGAAACTTTAATTCTTAACGCTGATTTTGAAGTCCTTGTAGGTGGTCCACGCTTGTAGTATATTCCTCGTCCTTTTGTGATCAGCACCGCCGAATGTCTGAGGATGCATTCTATTAGGGCAAACTGTTACAGCAAAGACATCCCTTTTACTTACTCTAGAGGTGCCATAAATCTTTATTTTCTTCTTGTCTTCCTCGTTGAGAATTCTTCCGCCGCCAAGGCATTTTGAACATATGCCCTGGGGTTCCATCTCCTCCAAAATGGAGTCAAAAATTTCCACTGTAAATGAGTTATATTAAAAAATCAAGAATAAGCCAACATCCAGGACTCACAATGATTGTCGACATCAGCTCCACGAACGATAACTCTTCCAAAATTCGTAAACCCGTGTGTATGGATCATCACTAACAAGTAACGATTTTCCCCTTTGGTTATCTTAACCCTTGGAATTCCCACCAAACTGATCAGATCGGTAGAGTAACATTTTTCTAAGGTTAGGCACAGACATTAGTTATATTGCATTTAGGATATTTTACTACACTTATAGCTTACGCAACGGAGAAACACATTGTGGAAGAAGACTCAAAGACTTGATAAATTTCATTTTATTTTTCCAAAGGGAATACAAGTGGAATTTCTATACAACTTGAATAATTTAGATTCGAAAAGGTTTAGTGTAAACACAGTTGCACAGCTCCTGACCAACTGTTTTTCAGAGGGAATTTTAAAATTTCAAATGCCATTTTCGTAAAAGTCATGGCTTATGGGATTGTATGTCAAGTTCCAGGTGTTTTCTTCCTTTGATTGCAGCTAATACCCATCATCAGAGGTTTCGATCGTGTAATCAGGATATTTGGTGGACAGGATGCGTTTCGTCTGGGCGTGATCAGCTTTTCCAAAGCCCTGAAAATTAGCAAACAGAAGTTTTCAAATAATCGCAATCATATATAGGGGCTAAAAAGATCGGTATAATTATACCATGGATGGTAATGGTATGGTCCTTAAAACTGTTAAATTCCTGTTGGTAGGATTAAAAATCATCCAAAGACCCACCTGTGAGTATCCGTAGACCTTGATGTACTTCTTATCGGGGTTGTGTTCGATGCGGCCGCCACCAGGACATTCGGCACGCAGACCCAGCTTCTTGAAGACTTTCTCCTCGCGATCGAAGATGTCGGCTACAGAAAAGGTTCCGAGGATTAATAATTGAACAATAGCCGCAGGGAAACCCACTTACCATGCCATTCGCAGTCCGAAAAGCCCCGAATCACAGCCTTGGAAGCATCTCCTCCGTCGATAACGTTGATCAAGATGTACTTGAAAATGCCCTCTGGGCTGATGTGCACCAGTGGTACGCCTGCAAGTACTTCCTCGGACATTTTGTGTATCAGTCGTAGTCCTTTGGAGAACAATTGAAGACGATTCATTGCGAAGAAGTGCTTAAAAAAAGGAATTTATGCTTACCAACCGGCGAAAATAGCCTACTCGTGTATAGGGATGTAAAAATACATCAAAATATCTATACATCGGTATTTTTTGAATAAAAATAAATATTTATATCGTGATATTTTTTACCTCGCCGCTATCACGTAAGTTTCAGAAACGTAAGAGCCACGTAAGTCTGTAGAAAAGGGGGGTTAGCGAGGACACCCTCCCAACACTCGTACTCTTGCGCAGATTTGAGTATATACGATACTACTATCGGTACTATCGGTACAGCTCTAGCGTTCACAACAAAATATACACAAATTAAATTGTTTAAGTCGAATTTTCCCGATTTCTAGGCGAAGAGATGAGCTCAACGCGTCCGTTCTGCTTCGTTTGCGGCAAGGAGAAGTCCGTGGGCGTGTTTCAGCTAATAGAAGGTAACCAAATCTGCGCCGCCCAGTGGAAAATCCTAATAGCCGACATTTTGCAGGCTGCATAGTGCCAGGGACCTTCAAGCCGATCAAGGATATACTGAAGTACTTCGAGAAGATCATCAACCAGCGGCTGGATCTAGCGCCCAATTCCGCCGCCTGTCGGGACTGCCTGGAGTACCTCTTCAACTACGACCGGCTGGTGAGGAACCTCAGTCAGGTGCAGCGCCAGATTGCGGACGCACTTCTGGGCTGCCGGCAGGTGGAAGGCAAGCCGGAGACCAAACAGCAGGCCTCCAAGAGGGCCAGGGTGCAGGTGCCGGCCTTCAAGATCATCCAGGCCACCCCTCTGCAGGAGCGGTCGCCCGAGAGGCAGGAAGAGCAGGAGCCAGAGGAGGACGAGGGCGAGGAGTTCATGCGAGAGGAGATGCTGGACGAGGACTTCCAATTCAGCGAACCGGACGACAGCATGCCCTCCTCGGAGAGGAGTTCTTCACCGAGACCACCGAGATACCCTGCCACATCTGCGGCGAGATGTTCTCCAGCCAGGAGGTTCTCGAGCGGCACATCAAGGCGGACACCTGCCAGAAGTCGGAGCAAGCCACCTGCCAAGTGTGCGGCCTGAAGGTCAAGGACGACGAGGTGCTCGATCTGCACATGAACCTGCACGAGGGAAAGACCGAACTGGAGTGCCGCTACTGCGACAAGAAGTTCTCCCACAAGCGGAACGTCCTGCGGCACATGGAGGTGCACTGGGACAAGAAGAAGTACCAGTGCGACAAGTGCGGCGAGCGCTTCTCGCTGTCGTGGCTAATGTACAACCATCTTATGCGCCACGACGCCGAGGAGAACGCCCTGATCTGCGAGGTGTGCCACCAGCAGTTCAAGACCAAGCGCACTTACAAGCACCACTTGCGCACCCACCAGACCGATCGGCCACGTTATCCCTGCCCCGACTGCGAGAAGTCCTTCGTCGACAAGTACACTTTGAAGGTGCACAAGCGAGTCCACCAGCCGGTCGAAAAGCCAGAGTCGGCGGAGTCGGCCAAGGAATCCACCGCGGCGTTCTTTTAGATGTAGTCCCTTGCTAGTTTAATCTAAGAAGCCCAGCTTATGGGCCCCTAAGCGCGTATGTATCATAAAATTAAATCTAAACAATCAATGACGGAAATATCAGTTCTTTGCCTGTATTTCAGGAACTCTAGCAGGTAAAATCGCGGAATTCGCGAAATTTCGCCGGCCATGGTAATAAATTGGGCAGATGTTTTCCCAATTCCCAGAAGAGGTCCTTCTACCTGTTTATGGACGTATATAAAGTCATGACGCGCAATATTAGTACTTAGTTGAAAAGTTCAGCTTTACCCGGGAGCACATCTTATAGAGCTATGGAGTCGTTGTTGGTTCAGTTAAACACTTGCAGTGACCTGATCGCAGAGGGCTACAGCAGCACGGGCAACATGGGCTGGCTGAACGAGTTCTGCGCCACCTTCCTGGACTTTGCCAGCGATCTGAAGGCCAGATTGCCAGAGGTGCCCCCAGTGGCGCCAACTTGGAGGTGGAGACCATCTTTTTGCCTCACCCAGGTTGTCACCTGCATCACCCACTTGGAGCGGACCATTAGCCTGGATGCCTCGCAGATGACCAGGCAGCACTTTCTCGATCGTTTGGACTGGTGTTTGCGCCGAATGCTGATCTCCCTGACGCAACTGGAAAACAACGTGGCCCCAGTGAAGAACCTGGAGGATCACTCGTTCGTCGAGCTATGGATCTGGCCCTGGATCACCTGGATGATTACATGGAGAAGCTGGCTCAGAGGAGCAACAACTCGCTGAACATCCTGGAGGAGAGCATCACGGAGGACAGCTTCCAGCTGGCCAGCATAGTGAATCATATAGTTCGCCACGTCCTGGCATTCGCCAATGTGGCTATTAAATCGGACAAGATGGCTCTGACCTCTCTTTGTGAGACTCTACTCAGCGAATGTGCCACTTTTCACGAGGAGGCCGGTGATCCGAATTGTGGTCACCGCAAGCTGGAGGCACTCTCTTTGGAACGAGCTCTCTACGCCTTGGAATCCTTCTAAACGAGGCCATGCTGCACTTGCTCTTCGTCAGTTTGATCGAACTGGAGAATACTTCGGTGGAGAAACTGAAGGAGGCACTGCAAAAGAATGCTAATGGTGCCCAAGAACTGATCTCCGCCTTTGACACCAATATGGATCGCATCCAACAGATTGGAGTATTGGCCATAGCCTTCTCGCAGGACATCAAAACCAAGACGATTGTGAGGAGCTGCCTGGCTTCATTAGAATCCCTGGATGCCTGCATTGTGCCAGCCCTCCAGTTGCCCGAATCCGTTTCGCCATACACCATGTGGAAATCCTGCAAGAGCATTTCAACCAGGAGCTATTGATCTTCCGGAACGTGATCCACGAAATCATTGACAGCTGCTCCCTGATCAACAACTACCTGGATATGCTGGGCGAGAGTATCCAGATTCAGGAGAAGAGTCACCTGAAGGTGATTGTCCAGCGGGGCAGAGTTTTGGTGGAGCACTTCCGGCTGCCTGTGAACTACTCGGGGCTCAGTGCGGATGGACAGCGGGTGCACAAGGATCTCATCCTGATCCTACGGGAGTGCCACGCTGTGGTTAATCTGGACATCCCGGTGGAGCCCAAGCGCATCGTTAAACGCCTCAAGATATTGTACTCGTTCTGGCCAAGCTGAGGGACTTAATAAGCAAGGATAATCTTGAACCGACAGTTCGATTGCCTCTCTGGCTCCGATTCCCCCTAATGACACCAGAACTTTTGTACGAAATAGTAGATCCGTGTCTAAGAGACATCGTTCCTTTGTAAAACAAACCGGAAATTGCTCGGTCTTTGGCCACAGGACACCTGTACTGAGTCCGCAAGCAATGAAAGCGATCTTATAAGTTTCCAGATCACCGACATTCTTAGATTAGATTGAACATCCATGACACACAATATTCTAAATAGGTATGTCTATAATAATAAAATTTAAACATTTTTAAATGCTTCATTAATTTGAAGCTATTTTTAAAATTTTAGAAGGTTAATATAATAATGTATATTGGTTCCCAATCCCTGAAATACCCTAAATAAGTATATCTATAAAAGAATGTATTCTCTGGATTTGTAATTACTTCATTTACTTGAAGTTATTCTCATAATTTTTAGACACAATAAACATTTAAAAAAAAAGATCAACAAATATATTTTTATTGGGTACCAAGTTCATAAAGAAGGAGCCAGTTGGACATATTAATATCTTGTTGATAAAATGATAGTAACTGTACCAATTAAATATGCTAGGTACATAAATGACAAAAATTGTACATTTAAAGATTCATAAAATATTTGATACATTTTATAATAATTTGAGTTTTTTAAACATAAATAAATATATTTAATAGTTCACTTCAAATTAAAGTATAATGAATTGTAATTACAATAAATAGCTATGTATATATTGCTTTAACCTATTTATGTTTCCTTCCGTTCCACTCCACCGGTCCGCCCCGCGGACCAGGGCGTTGGCCACCCTGGTTGAGTAGAAAAAAGGGCTGCCAACTCTTCTTCCATACCTCAGAGAGTTGCCAACTCGATTTTAGCACATGGTTGCATTTCACGCGTTTTGGTATAGCGTCCGATATTCGTTCATTTTGCCAACTCTATTAAATTTATACAAATTTCCCCTCTCTGAGGTTGTAAACAATAGGCTGCCGTTTTAACCGGGCACCGCATAGCACTGCAAACCAGAATCCGCCCGCCGCAATGGACTCGTGCTTCTTTTGCGGCGCCGTCGAGCTGAGCGATGGCGTCTACGAGAAGCTGTCGGCCAAGGTGCCCTCCTCGCAGAAAACCGTCTCGCTGGTGCTCACTCACCTGGCCAACTGTATCCAGACGCCGCTGGACCTCAAGCCCAGCGCCAGGCTGTGCCCGCGCTGCTTTCAGGAGCTCTCCGAGTACGACACCATCATGGTCAACCTGATGACCACCCAGAAAAGGCTTACCAATCAGCTGAAGGGCGCTCTAAAGTCCATTTTCGAGGTGCCCGGCGAGTCCGCAGAGGATATCCTGGTGGAGGAGGTGGAGATCCCCGCCAGCGATGCCGACACAGACGCCGATGCCGAGGCAGACGCCCTCTTTGTTGAGCTGGTCAAGGAGCAGGACCAGGACTCCGACACGGACATAAAGAGGGAGTTCGAAGACGAGGAGGATGACGAGAACAACGAGGACGACGACGATGAGGAGTTCATCTGCGAGGAGGTGGAGGTGGGTGATTCGGAGGGCGGCCAGTACGGCAAGTCCTCCGATGGCGAGGACAGGCCGATGAAGAAGCGCGTCAAGCAGGAGTGCGCCACCTGCGGCAAGGTGTACAACTCATGGTATCAGCTGCAGAAGCACACCAGCGAGGAGCACTCGAAGCAGCCGAACCACATCTGTCCATCTGCGGGGTGATCCGGCGGGACGAGGAGTACCTGGAGCTGCACATGAACCTGCACGAAGGCAAGACGGAGAAGCAGTGCCGCTACTGTCCCAAGAGCTTCTCGCGGCCGGTGAACACGTTGCGTCACATGCGCATGCACTGGGACAAGAAGAAGTACCAGTGCGAGAAGTGCGGCCTGCGGTTCTCGCAGGACAACCTGCTCTACAACCACCGGCTGCGGCACGAGGCCGAGGAGAATCCCATTATCTGCAGCATTT